CAAACACCAAGTGTCTGTGGCTCTTCTGTGCTGGTCCCAGGCAGAAGCATGCACTCACATATTCAATAAAGGGAAAAAGTAAAATGGTCTCTCACCATGACAATTTCTTCAGGAAGGGGAGAACGGACCCCTATGTGCCCCAATATAGGCCCCCATTACCCTAAAAACCGTGTCATATTTCCAACCTTCAGGTAACAGGAATTTAAGCAGTCGATTCTTTCTGAGCTATGCAATCCCTGCAGCTCCCTTCCACCTGCACTCATGCTTCTAGTCTCTCACCCTCTACTGCTAACATCTGCATGTGCACGGTCTTAGCATTCAAAATCTCATCTGCTCCCGCCGCCTGTGGCTCACCTGAAGTCACAATTCCCTGTTTGTCACATCATAATCACCCATGCTTTAGTGAGGGATAAAGCACCAGAAGCAGACCAACTGTGAGCAACAAAGATCTAATTTCTTACAACATCCTTCACCAAGCTGACTTGGCTCTACAGATTCTACATCCTGGAGTCCCACAGAGCAGTACATGGAGATGAGAAAAGCACCCATGTAAATAAAATATGCTGGTTTGTCCAAACATGGGGGAAGGGGAGAGGCAGAGATAAGGTAAGTGCCTCTCGGGTGTCACTCAAAATAATTGTTAGTGTCTACTAACAGGATACCTCTCACTGGAAAGAATAAAATATCTCCAGAGCCATGCTTATTAAGCCAAACTTAACGAGAACTTGCACCAGACAGAGGCTGTGGAAGTCACTAATGAAAGTCCCTCTGACCTGGAGACATGCCCAACCCATGGAGGATGGATGGTTCACCTTCTGTCTCCGCTATAAGCTCTTTCATTTTTTCCCAATAGTACGAACAGTCTTGGCATCTTCTCACTGTCACGGTGTCCCTTTCTGTCCAAAGTTCTCAACCCGTTCCCCCAAAACCAAACCAAAACAAAACAAACAAAAAACTGGGATGAATTAATGTCTGATACAAATGAAAACATCTACCTCAGCAGATAAAACGTCTGTTGTGAGCGTGCATGTACACATTGTGCAATGTTTAAATCAAGTTAAACCTATCTAGTTTCTCAAGCAGGAGCCTTTGCACATGTTTCTCTAAGGAGATCTTGGTACTTTTTTTTTTTAAATGGCACTGAGATTTGAACTCATCTCCTCGTGCTTGCTAGGCACTCACTGTATCACTGGAGCCACACCCCCAGCCTTCCAATTTTGTTAGTACTAGAAATGGAGTCATCCTCAACAGAGGTCACAAGGGAATCACAATGCTTACTGCCAATTTAACGTTTAGAGATTTTTGTGCATCTGACTTGACAGGTGAGCAGGGGATGTGGACATCTTCCAAGACCTTGAATGCTGGTCAGTAAACATGGATTCTAAGCTAATCGTCCTTGGGAGGAACACTGACAGACACCGAGACTTAAATTCTCCTCAAGTTTTCAGGTCTGACTCAAGTTAAAAATGTTTGTTTTCCTTAATGGTGTCTGCCTGTATCAAGTACTTAAGAGGTTGGTTAGCTCAGTGGTAAGCTAAGTGAGTTCAAGTGCCAGGGTGAAAGCACGTGGTGGCAGCAAGGTCTGGTGAGACAGCATAGAATATATAAAATTCTATCAACACTTCAATGAAAATAGTTCACAAGGCAGTGGCATCTTCTTCAGCTACCTATAAAGCATAGCTATTGATTTTTACTGGAATGCATATACCCTTTCATTCACAGGTTTAATAAAAATAGCATGAAAATAGCCCTAAGTGAATTTATTTGGGGTTGGGGATGGGCAGGCATGACACCAACACATCAGGCTGTGAACACCTGGACCATAGGGCAGTATTTTATGTATTTTAGCAGCACTGGGGTTTGAACTCGGGGCCCCTGCATGCTAAACAGAGGCTCTGCCACTTGAAGGACACCCCCAGCCCTCTTTGATTTACTTATTTTTCAAATAGGGTCTTGTGGTTTTGCCCAAGGCTGGATGGCACCATGATCCTTCTACCTATACCTCCCATGTAGCTGGGATTGCAGCTGGGTGTCACCACATCCAACTTTTTGTTCAGATGAAGTCTCATTAACTTTCTGCTCACGTTGGCCTCAAACTGCAATCTTGATCTCTGCCTCCCGAGTAGGTGGAGTTACAGACATGTATCACCATGCCTGGTGCTTGCTTGGGTGTTTATAATCAGTCATCTTCATATTGACTAGCATACTTCCTGGCATAGAGTACACACTCAAAAAATGTTAGTTGGAAAGAAGAACAAAAGAATTACAAAGATTCTCAGAAGTTGCGGTAAATTATCTGAATTCATTACTTGGTGGCTTACCTCCCTATTAGACCAGTAAGTGCAAGAAAGCAGGAGCTTGTGTATACCGAGCTCAGTAACTTATGGAATAAGTGAATATATATATATAAATGAAAAATATATATTCACATATATATGAATGAAAAGTAATTTCTTAGTTGGAGAAACTAAAGTCATTTATCCAACATTAAACTGTCTTAGTGGTATATACTTATCTGCCTAAGCTTGAAATGGACAAGCTTACCAGGCAGAGTAAATCCACACAAGGATACGCACACTTCAATAACAAGGACTCTTGTTTTTTTCTTTCCTATAGCGCCTGGGTAAGACTTGTACCAATGCAACCACTCAGCACACAGCTATGAAACAAGGACATTTAAGACAGCACCAATGCTAGAAAAAAGGTGATCTGTTGTACTTTTCCCTTCTATGGCCAGAGAGATCAGATAAAATGAAACAGGTGGAAAATACAGAGTAGGGTGAAATGCTTTAGGGGAAGTCAGAATCCTGTTAAAAGGGCTAAGTAGACAGTACACAGTAAGAGCAGTTTCTTCGGAGAGTAGTCCAGTGTAGAGACCAACAGAGATTTTACTTGTGCTTATCAAAGAATCAAAATGAAGAAAACATGTCTCCATGTAAAGGTGTACAACATGTAAGCAAGACAGAACCAGGCTGACTTGTATCTGTTCACATACCAGTGTTTTCCCGTGGGTACATTTAAAACGGTCTTGAAATTTACCTGGCCTAGCACTTAGGAGTTCATCAGTCATTGAGAAGGGTATTTACAAGGTAAAAGAACAACAGCAACTCTGCAACTGTATTTCATACAAGGCTTTAAATTTTCATGCTTCAACCACCAACACGTGTTAGGTTAGTGCTTCAGTAATACACTTAATAGGCACAGAATAAATTAACAACTTTTGTATGCTAATGAAGAACTTCAAAACAGAACTGAGGCTTGTGGAGTTGGCTAAACTTCCTAGAACTCATACTTTTAAGTATCAGTTAAGTATCATCCTTGGTATACATTTGTAAAATTATTACCTCCACCTTCCACAGCACAGAGGATACATGGAACCCACCACTTTCAATTTCATCTCTCCTTTCTGTACTGGTGCATAACTCTTGGACCACATTGTTGCATTGCCTTTGCCAGTCATGGTGAATCCAGGTGAACACACCCAACTCGGGTAAACTGAGGACCTAGTCTGATGCTTAGGCCCCATCTAAGCCCTCTGCTTTCCCTGCCAACCCAGGTCTGCTCATCCTCAGAAAGGAAGCAGGGGAAAGTTAAGCTAACCAAAGAAATGGGTCAGAGGGCCAGATGTCCTAAGGGAGATGGTGCCAAGAGAGTAACACCGAGCAGCTCTGAAAACACCTGCTTAGTTGTGCTTAGTTGGTAGCTTAGCACAAAAGCTAGATTCGGTCATGTCCATGTTGGCCATTAGTGGAATGGTAAGTGTGGTCAGTTGTTTTACAACACCTTCAACACCCTCACGGTGTATCACAGGCACCCATTTCAACTGGTTCTGCACTGCTACCCATTTTATTTTTTGTTAGATTCTTACAAGGCAGTTTCATCCTCTACCTTACCTTACTTCCACAGGCTAAACAAATGTTCTTCAATGGAAAATATGTTAGTTCTACATGCTTAAATTTAATCTAAGAATTGAGAACACTTTCTTAATTTATCACCTTTGTTTAAACCTATTTTATCTCTCAATTTCAAAGTATCACCAATCCTGTAACACACCCAAGTCTGTTCTCCAGCTTATTAATGAAAACACTGAGAAGTAAGAGCTAGGACGGATGTACTACAGGACTGCACTAAAGAAACATCCTTTCTTAACTTGACACAGACCATGTATTTAACTCTCTTGCCCAATCTGTTCTTCAGTTTGGAAAAAAATTATGTAATGGAATGTTCATTTCTTTGTCTTAAAGCTACACTATGCAGATTCTTTAACATCTACATTAATCTGCATAATAACATGATTTGTAGGGATCCTTTGCAAATTACCACATTTAAATGGAGAAGAGGAATTAATTCCTTGTAGGGTGCTTTATGGTTTCCATGATCAATTATTACATCTGTGTCTTTGAGGCTTAATTTCTAATGCTTAAGAGATGTTGAAAAAATAGCAATCTGTCATAAGATTCTACCCTGGCACACAAAACAGATGCATACATACGAGATTCTGAAAAATCATGCTAAATCTATGATGACAAATAATGTTTGGCATGAAAATAATGAAAGTTTAATATCTTGTTTTCAAGTAAAAGGACTACCCTATTCTATGCGTGAGGCGAGCATACCTTACTGTGAATTTTTCTAAATGTCCTGTTTCATATCTAAAGCATTCTATAGACAGTGTTTCTTTGTTTCTTTCTCTTATAAGGCCTAGATTATGGTTAATATCTCATGACACCAAATGTAATACTGTACCAGATATTAAAGCATTTTTTCCAGCCACTTATTCTGTAAAATATTAATTGCAAGCCTGTGCATGTGCTGCACACATAGGGGATCAGGTAACGGGGTTCCTGCTCGGCTGTAAATCAATAAAAGATAGCATTCAGAGCATCAATCATCACCTCTCCTCCTTCAGTGCATAACAACTGCAGGTGGACGATTTGAAAAATACATATTTAAGCACTCATGGAGGTACTGCAAGCTAGGGAGGATGTGGGGATACTCACCTAGGAAGGACAGGTTTTTCTCCAGAAGCAAGTCTCTCAGCAGGAGTTCATGTTCATGGCCAATGGCGCTGGGAAGCTTCTGTTAAGGAGGTGCCACAGGCAGAGCTATGCAATCAGGGAAATGTTAACACCAGGTCTCTACATGGGGTGAAATGGAGAGGTAAGGTGATCATCACTGTTTCCACCTTCAGCCTTCATCTCTAAGGAATATTTCCACTATGTTCATCCCTTCATTTCAATGAGTCAATGGCATTTTTCTGTTTGTATTTTGACAAACAAAGATATGTAAATGGGTGTGGTTTTAACTTCTTTTAAAAGAGGGGGGATCTTTTAAAATATCTACTATTCCTCAACTCAATTTAGTGCACACTAAGTAATTACTAAGCACAACAAAATATATTATCCAGCCTTTTCCCTTAAATCTTCCAGTCTTACAGAGTTTTGCAGACCTGTGTCTTCATAGGCAGGCACTGAGTCACATGCAGCAGCTCCTGTTTCACTTCCCATGTACTGTCAGTGACCCTCTGTGACTGCAGAAGCCAAACGACAGATTGGTTGAGAATCTATGTAAATTTTGGTGTAGACATTTTGGTAAAAGACTGTGAATGAGGGTGTGGATACAGAGTCTGTCTCAAGACTTCTTCTTGTGTGTGCATGTGCACACATATCATACATGCACACAAATAGATTCCACATGAGTGTAAAAATGTGTGCTGGGCACAATGTTACGTGACTTCTGTACATTATTTCAGCCTCAAACTATCACAAGTCTTATTTATTGATGAGGAAACTAAGACTAAGAAAACAAGCTACACAAGGCTGGCAAAGCCGGGGCTGGGGGGCTGGGGTAGGGCACAGTGCCTGGTACGCTTGAGGCCTGGGTTCAATCCCCAGCACTGAAAGAAAAGAAAGGGAGGAGAATGAGGTCTTTACAAAGCCTCTCCATGACCTCACAATCTCTCAAAAAGGATTCAAATTATATAATAGTTGATAATAGCTAATATTTCTTAAATATCACATAGGAAGCCTCTGGATAAGCACTCTGGGATATCATGTTATTTAATCTTCACAACGACCACACACGTGGACACTATTATTAGTCCCACTGATACAATTAAGGAAAGGAAGGCTCAGAAGGGCTAAGGGACTTGTTCCAGGTTTCATGGCTGATAAATGATGAAATCAGGAGCAAGGCTGGGAAGTCTGACCTGTTTTCCGAAGAGATGACATTACACAATTCTCTAAAGGAGTGTTGCCATGTGCTGGCACTTTAATTCAGTCAGCTGCATTTGTAATAATTCTCTGCACCACTACTGTCATTCTCCACTTCACTGGCAACATCTATCTGCTCACGTCAGTCCTTGGCTTACCAGAGGCTGTGATTCTGACCATGCTCTCCAAGAATCCAGCTTAAATCAAACAGAACTTATATATCCTGTGTTAAAAAAAAATCCTAGGGAATTATCCTTCCCTTTACTAACATAACAGAGTATAATTTAGTCTTGTAATTCGAGAGATATACTCATTGACATCCACCATTGAAACAAGTGTAAGTCACCACTACTGCCTTTTTTCCTCCTGTTGTTTCCCCTCCTCCCATGCACACAGCTGAACTTACTTAATTTCTAGCTGGAAATAAAATAAAAGTAAAAAAATAAGTTTTTACACAAAGTTTCACACTTTCTCAGAGTTCACTGAAGACATTTCATGAATAAGTGTCAACTCTCAGTGGTCTCTTGTTAGGGGGGCACCCCATATTTTAGAACTAAAATATTCACTTCTATTTCACGTAAATGTGCTCTCACTATTATTGTTGTAAATTATTTACATCTAAAATGTTGAAGCACAGAACTGAGTTTACTGATGGCACAGCTGTGAAACTCACAGCGCCAAGGCTTCCTGCATCCTAGTTAACCTTTGTCTATAAGCTGTGTCCTGGAGTCACACCCTGGAAAGTGAAGATGTTTTGCTCTTGGGGGCGTGTGAGCTGTGGTGGAAAAGGCATGGATGGCACAGCTATGTAGGAAGAGACATAGAAGACACCGAAAGTCCCACAGAGAGGGACTCTTTCTCTTTGCTACTGGCTTTGTGGGGTGGCATGCATTCATTCATTCATTCATTCATTTATTTATTTATAGCAAATAAATAAATGACCAGTTTACTTCAATCTGCTCACACAAACGTCTATATGTAACATGTTCATAATGAGGTTGAATGATTTTGCACCTATTCCATTTACCAAATGTGTGTTTTCTTTCTTAAGGAATGATGCACCTTACTGAGAGTCAGCAACATAAACATCACCAAATCATCACAACAACGTATAAACAGCACTTTCACTCACATGGAAGACCAATGATCTTTATTCAGTGTGAAATAAAATAACTCCTGTTGATCAGTCTAGGAAATATCTTTCAAGTGTATTTACATTATATGGAACTGTGACTACTTTAATGCAAAGATAAAAATCAGTTTCTCCATAAACTTCCCAGCCCATTTTACCTTACATGGTAAAAGCTATCACCAATTTGAAATTTTAGAATGATATACTTCTTGATTATGCTTTGCTTGATAGAAACATCTATAAAAGGCAAGATCTAGAAAGTACAGCTTATAAAAACAGTAATTTTACTGGCAACAAGCATAATGGAACTACAAAAATTATAATCTAGTCAGTGAATGCAATTTACGGACATACATCATTATCTTTATCAAATGAAATCATGGACTACATTAAATTCTACTGGCAACAACACAGCCCCAAAAGGAAAGTGAATAATGGCAAAAATGTAAGGAAAATACTTCAAACAGAATTTATAATGCCCTATAACAGAAACACTTAGACTTTGTCTACATGGACACCTATTATTGATGCATGGCAGTGACCACGGGCAAAACTTGTAAATAACCTCACAAGCCATTTCGTCGCCAGCGATCCAGCCATCCGGCTTCCCGTAAGCCCTCAACTATTACTGAAAAACAGCCTCCTGGCATTTACAAAGCAGTTGACTTCATGCTTTAGTCCATGCATACATAATTAGGAAGTTGTATTTAAAATCAATATGCAATCCTTCAAAAGACATTATGCTTTTAAAACCTTAACTTTAAATTGATTTTTAACTATTTTATGTGCTTTAAAATTAACATGTAACTCAGCCCCAGATACTCAGAGATGGTGTTAGCTGTTATATGAATGTGCTAAACTTTATCACTGCAGCAACATGAACTTGGCACTCCTACAATTTTTAACGCTACCATTAATTTTACACAGAAAATAGGAGTATAGTTTCACTTTAGTCTAATAAAAAAGCAAGCTGGTGACAATACTATGGTTTTATTCACTGAAGCTAGGTTAGGGGAATAGAGTGAGAGACTATGTATAAAGGTCTGTATCTTAGGCACTGAGTATTCTTGCAAGAAGGCTCTGCTGAAGGTTATTTTCATATCTTAATTTTATTCTAGGAAAAGAAAGTAATTTTCTTAACAATTTTGAGCCAGCTGTGGTGGCCTATAATCCTAGCAGTCAGGAGGCAAAGGCAAGGAACTGAGACTTCAATGCCAACATAGGCTACATGGAGAGGCCCTGTCTCTCAAAAAAAAGACAAGTGTTTTTTTGGCAGTACTGGGGTTTGAACTTAGGGTCTCATACTTGCTAGGCAACTTCTCTACTACTTTTTAAAAACTGACTCTAAGCCTTTGTGAAACAAGGAGGAATATAAACATATACACATGCACGTGTACAGATGAGCATACACACACTTAATTTGCAGGAGTGTCCAGCCAAAACCTTGACTGGTAATTACTGACTCACAAATGGCCACAGTGCTTTCCACGCTAACAAAACCTGCCCAGGACAGCCATGTGCATATGAAGAGGTGTGAGACTCACAGACGGATTTATCTCCCCTAAAAATTACTAAGTGTCAGTGAGATAGTATTTTTAGTCGAGGATAATTAAAACTCTCAATGTTGCCATGACACTACTGAGTTACTGATTAATAATGCCTACTTCATGAACCAGGTATCGTCTGGCCAGTCCTGCTTCAAGAAGTCAGCATCAACTCTTCGGGAATCCCAATGTTTTTAATGAAGCATGACTGGGTATCTGCTTTCATAGCCTTAAAATCACTTCTGAGGAGAAACTAGCACAATTTCTCTAAAAACGTTTATGAGGGATCCAAGCGACAGCTCAGATCGTAATCAGCATTTAGCAGTAAGAGTTAGAGCCCTTGGAGATGTAACGGTCTCTGGCAGCATTCCCATAACATCATCCATCGACTCTAGTGAATTTATTCTAGAAGACTCCACTGGATTTCACTCATTTTAAGTGAACTTTGTTACATTTCTGAAAATGGTCATCGGATCGGTTAGACACGTTTCAAGACAGTATGCCACCTGTGCGATGACTCTGTACCCTTAAGCTCAATGGAAGCCAAGCAGTTTGAAACACCCACGTGAGTGTGAGGCTGCTGACCTGACACCTTCTTATGGCCTCTGATTTTCCCTAAGCTGTAGAAAAGAATGATCTGCAGTGGCCCTCAGCTGATTGAATGTAAAATAGAAGAGCATGAAATGTGTTTTGTGAAGCAGAACTTTATGTCAGGTTAAAGCTAGACACATCTCCTCCACCAAGTCGACACTCGTCAATTGTGCACCTAAAATTTTATGGGAAAGGATACTGTTTGATGCAGTCCACCAGTGGTCCATAAGAGCAGTCGTTCACAATGCACTGCAGACAAACCAGAGGAGGGGTTGGGGAAGGTGACCACAAAAACTGTGACAATAAGCATCCAGAAAGCAGTAATGACTTTTCTTCCCCTACCCCAAAAAACAAAGGCTATTCAGATTTAATCACAGAAAGCAAAAATGATGTGTTTCTCATTTACTATAAAAGCAAGCTACTAAAAAGTGAGATGCTCTTCTCGCAAATACTGCACTGCCATTTATGGTGCACCCTGACCTCAGTGATAGTTTATGATGACAGTAATTAAATGAGGTTTAAAATCCTTTACTCTGCTAGGCAGATAACAGCATTGCCACTGAAAATAGACAGCTGTGATTAATACCTGATAGACCTGATTTGCTAGAACTCCATCTGGAATCTGAGAAGGGTCCCGAAGCATGCTATTTATAACAGACTTGGAAGCTGTAGGAGAGAACGGAAGAAGTATTAGCAGACAGTCTACACACTTTGACTGTAGCATGCGAGGTGACATACAGCTACACATACACAGCCCGTGAAAACTAAAACGTCACTATATGAATCATGTCCCCTTTGTTGAATCTAAGGGAAGATGCTAATTAAACCACTGTGTCAAGTTTGCAAGCCATATTGCCAGATTTGATGATGACCTAAGTTTTCCAGGTTAATGTGGTAACTACAGACCTAAGGCATATGTCTATTTGAAGATAAATCACCTTTGGCAAAGCCCATGTGGAAACAAAGGAGCACAACAAAAGCAATCAGAAAATACCTTTTACAGGTAGGTATTTTGTAACCAAGCACACATATACATAGATTCGGTGAGGTCAGCCATCTCTAAACACTAAACCGTCCCATAATCACTCTTATAAGTTCTCATACAGTGATGTCCATTTCAAGGAAAGGAAAGTAGTGAGACTAGCTGACAACTGAGGGGGTCTTAAATAAGGAAAGGTGTGTGTATGTGTACCCTCATGGATACCAAATTCCATGGATGATCAATTTCCTTATATAAAATGGCATAGGGCTTGTGCAACTTACCTGCACCCTTCCGTATTACCTGTAGATTACTTACAATACCTAATACAATTTAAATGCTATATAAATAATTGTTATATCATATTGTTTGGCAAAAAATGATAAGACAAGGTCTGCACATGCTCAGTACAGACACAACTATTTCCCACATATTTTCCATCAACAGTTGGTTGAATCCTTGTATATGGAACCCATAGATATGGCTGGTCGACTATGTGTGAGAGTGGGTGGTAGGAGGTACACGTACACAAACTTTCCACCTTAAATATGCCTCATCCACTTGCAAATTAAGCTAAAGTCCCATGGCTGCTACAGAAGACAGGCACTCAGGAAGGCCACTCATGAAGGATGCTGTACAGGGTGACATCCTTCGAAAAGCCAGTAGGAGATTCTGGCCTGGCTTTGCTCACCATGGGTGTGTGGTAGCCCACACGGCCAGAGTTCCTCTTAATGCATGGGAGGAAGGCAGTGTCTACACTGAAGCTAAGTCAGGTGTTCTCTAGGAATTGATTCTGTTAAAGTCCTCTCCAAATATTTAGCAAAATTGCTGAGGATCTGACCCACCCAAGCACAGAATGAATGCATACTGCAAATTATGAATTTAGGAAAAGGAACACAGGTCATAGATCTACATCATTCAGGTACTGAGGTGGTTTTTGGTCTAAAGTATTATTATTATCATGTTCTTTATCAAGTTCAGTGGCATAAGAACACTGATAGATATGATAAATGATGTGAGAAATACAGGGAAAGAAATAAGGACATTACATCCTCCTTAAGCATAGTATTGGTTCTTCAAAAAAAAGTAGCTATTTTAATTCTTGCCTATGTTAGTCACATAACAGCAAGCCTGTAAACATTCACACTCTGCAAACGTGCTTGCACCACATGTGGACAAGCGCTATGGAAGTCCTCAAAAGCATCACCTGAGCTATGCCATCTGGTTCTATGGCAAGTAGCACTGCCTCTCGACTGGGCTGTCTCCATCCGTAGGAAGTGAGGGTATTATTTGAGCTGACCACTCTAAAGGCTTCTTATGTGAGTCTCCAGAGAAAACAGTGACAGCAGCATTTTGTTACAGGTTAATAATAGTAAGAACCAAATCATACTTAAGCATATGCGGTATTTTACAAACTTAGGCTGTACCCAATTGTTTTGACAGAAATCACCATGGATAAGTGGTACAAATATTGAGACTATGAAGCAGCAAGGGTCATCTTATAAATGGAGACACCATAGCAGCAACAGTGCTAAAGAGACAGGGCGTGCCGTGAGCTTACTTGTTTTTCTCAACCTGAGTCTAAGGCCCGGCCAGATGGTGGAGGTAAAAGCAGCTGTTCACACGTTCAGTCACCTTCCCTGAGAAGACGTCCTGTGGCCTGGCACTCACTTACAGGCTGGTAATGACAGACACATTCTTCTGTCTCCCATACTGCCAGAAGGCTCTTGAGGGAAGAAGAGCCCCTTCTTCATAAGTACCTGGTCATGGTTAAGGTGGTAGTGCAGGCTCTCATACCAGGTGAAGGAAAGATTATTAATATACAAACGGCCACCCCATGGAAAATTACTGAATTCACACAAATTATATGCAAATTCATTGCTCAAATCGTTAAACAAAGGCTCTTTTTCAACAAAAAGAGGAACAATACTCTAAAACACCAGGAAAGTGGGTCCTTACTTTGAGGAAGGAACAGGAAATATCAAAGAAGAAAGCGATGACATAATTTTCCTCACAATGTAAATTTTAGAATAGTGTGCTTATCAGGGTTAAGAATCATAGCCAATAGACTTTATAAAAATAGTTTGAAAATGTTGAGAGAACACTACTCAAAACAAAGGAAGCCAGATGCTTTAACTGAAATAATAACAACTACACACTGAGTCCACATTGGCTTCAAACTTAACAAAATGTCTTTTCTATTCTTGCAGCCCACCATCTTTGAATGCAGGAAAGAGAGCTCAAACAGGACATCAAGGCCTTGGTCACAGACACCAGGCTTTTTCAGGAAAGGCTGTTTATGTCTCGGATCAAGCCCGACTGCACATATTCTGAAGCTTCGGAACTGCCTGCCACCTCAAAGAGATGAACAATACATAAATCAGAACAAGTGAGGCAACTGGACAGTGTTGGGTGGTCAGGGATAGGAGACCTCAAAGATGCTTGAGCCTTTCATAGAAGCTGTCCCCAGGCCAGCTCTGACCAGTCTTCGTGACTGCATACATGCAGGAGTCCTGTCCTCTCCATTCTCCTCCTCTTGCTCTCATAGTTGAGCCCGACCACTGTGTCAGCTGACTGTTTTTCTCCTTTGCACCAAACACATATAAAGCAGGGACCTAAGACACTTGGAGCTTGATCTACAGTGGGAGAAAACTGATACCAGTCACAGCACGCTCAGAAGACATGCAACCCCAATGCCTCAGATTACTATCTTCTCATTGTGAAATGCTCTGAACGTGAAGAACTCATGAACCTAATGTAGTAACTACCTCTGCACCCATCAGCCTGGCTTAACTTCTGGATCTGCACTATCTGTTATCTGTGCTATGACAGGCTAGAACTACTTGTGTAACCTTTCTGTCCTCTCTTTTTAATTAGTGTACACTAACTGTACAAAGGGGGTTTCTCTGTGATTCTTCCATCCACGCATGACATACTTTGATCAAATTCCCCTTCCCTTCCACCTTCCTTCTTTCCTTCCTCTCTCTCTCTCTCTTCCTCCCTCCCTCCTTTCTTCCTTCCTTTCTTTACTTTTTCTTTTCTCTTTTTTTTGTCAGTGTTGGGGTTTGAACTCAGGGCTTCATGCTTTCTAGGCAGGTTCTCTATCACTTAGTCACTTCACCAGCCCTTTTTTTGTTAGGTATTTTTGAGATAGGGTCTTGCAAACTATTTGCCAAGGGGTGGATTCAAACTACGATCCTCCTGATCTGACTCTAGAATAGCTAGTGTTATAGACATAAGCCACCATCCAGCTCAAGAGTATTTTCAAGAAACCAAACTTTCTACTGTTCCATCTCCTGATTCCATTTGAGTTATCCCTACTCGTCATTACTTCCTGTTTTCAAACTTTGAGTTGGCACATTATTTGTTTTTACTAACCTACTATTTTTATAAAGCTTGTTTTCAATCTTTTATTTTAACAAATACTTTCCAAGGCTATAATTCTTTTCTTAAATCCTGCTTTAGTTGTATGCTCTGAGTTTTACTGTTATTTATTTACAAATATTTTGAAGTTTCCATTATTTTATCTTTGAACTATGAATTACTTAAAAACTTTAGATTTTTGCTATTTTTATGATGTGATGTTTATATTAACATAAGGTATTGTCTTGTTTTGTTTTTCTGTTTTTACTATGAATGCTATTTTAATTAATTTATTTTGGCAGCACTGGGTTTGAACTTAAGAGTTTGTGCTTGCTCGACATGTAATCTACCACTTGGGTCACCCCTCCAGCCTGAAGCTTCTATTTATGAGGTATTAAGCTCAGGTGTATCTAGCAGGTCAAGGTTTCTGATTGCATTACTTGTCCTTCTAGCTGTTTTTTTTTAAGCTGGTATGAAGTACCCTCTGTTCTGCTCTGGGCTTCTCGGCTCTCCTAACTGCACGGCCAGCTTACCGTATTTAGAGGCTGTACCTGGGCATGCACTGGCATTCTTGGTAAGTGTGCCTATCTTTTGTCAGTGAGTCCCGATGCTCGGCCAGTAAACATCTCTTAAATACAGGGTGACTGGTGACAGCACTGGACCACTTTCTCTTATATCGTGTCTGCTTCTCACATCTAGGGTTCATCTCTTTACCTTGAACGCTGCCGCGTCTTTATGTCTCAAGTGTGACTTTTACAAATGCCATTAAGATTTTCGAAATCTAATTAGGAAACCTCTGCTTTTTAAAAAGTGAGTTTAATCCACTTATGTTCATTGTAACAGACACATTCAGACTTGCCTCCCCTCTCTTATTTTCTGTGTTCTGCTAATCATTCTCTTTCCTCTTTCTCCTTCTTTAGTTTGCATTTTAATTAGTTAACTAATTGTAATTCTTTCTTGTGGTGCTGATATGGAACTCAGGGCCTTCCACATGCTAAGCAAGGGCTGCACTGCTGAGCCACATGTCCAGGTCCTTTTCTGTGTTCTACTTAAGTTTTATTTAGTCTTCCTTCCTGCCTTTATTTCCTTGGGAGTAATATACCCTAAACTTATTTCTTTAGTAATCCTCTCAAAAAGTCTTTGAACTGAGTCTGTTTGTCATCTTGACCTAAAGAACTAGAAAGACCTGCTCTCATCAGGAGGTCACCAGCTCTCATATCATTGGGCCTCAGATTTTTTGTTCACATATCTTGTTGCAGACGCAGTTGCCCAGTTCATCTGGATGGTGGCTGGAAATTAGCTATGTCTTCTTGACTAATTGTGTACAGTCTGCCCTCCACAGCTATGCATTCAACAACCAGGGATTGAGAAATATTTTTGTACAAACTTCCTGTTCTGAACATGAACTGATGTTTCCTTGTCACTGTTCCCAAACAATACAGCACAACTGTTTACACTGTGTGTGATATTATAAATAACCTAGAGATGACCAAAGTCTCTAAAGTATGCATCTAAAGTGATATATAGGATTGAAGGTACATGTATGAAGCATACATGTGTAGGCACATATTACCTCATATACACGAGGCACTTGGGTGTCTTTGGACTTTGGTGTCTGGAACCGTGGAACCAGTCCCCATGACACAAAGGACGACTGTAACTCACTCATCTACTAAGATTTGACTTTAATCACCATAATTTCATTTCTAACTTTTTTCAAATATATCAGTTATTTTTACACACTATTCTATTATTTATCTTTCATTTGATTTAAATATGTATTTATAGACAGATACATGTATATAAACTGTGTGTATAACTGTAAGTATTTATGTATAATTTAAAAAATTTGACAGTTTATATACTTTGTCTTCATTTTCTCATCTCTATCCTACAGGATGTGATTTCTCTGTTTATCCACCTACTATGTATCTACCTACCTATGTGCCTGCCTACTTGCCTACCTATGTTCCTTGGGAACCTCCTGGGTATGTTTTTTGTTTAGTTTTGTTTTTCTGTGCTGGAGTTTGAACTAGGGCCTTTGCTTGCTAGGCAGGTACTCTACCATTTGAGCCAAGTCTCCAGCCCAGTATACAGAGTTTTACTGTGAGCTTACTTTCAATAAGAACTATTTGATCCTGCACCATGACAGTTGCTATGACAAATGAGTTTCACGTTTACTTTTGCAGAGACTAAAGTTACTGTTAATTTCTTTGTATGGGCTTTCTATAGACAACAAGAATGTAAATTTAGAGCCAAATCTAAACCCACAAATGATGCTACCTCTTTCCAATTTCTGTTTTCCTAACATTCCATAAGCCATGGCCTCATGAAGTAAGCAACCTCCTTGTCACACTCTCCAGGAGGCCAGCAGTGTCCCCAGCCCTCCGTCATGGCTCCTGCATCCTGGCTGCACATTCTTCTTCCTAGCTCTGCCCCTCATGTCTACATCTTAAGGTAGGTAATCACCCCTGGGCACAGCTTCTCTCTCAATTGTCCACACCCAACCATTCAATCCATTTTGTTTGTACTTGGCTATGTTTGAAGAGGTTTTTGTGTGTATTTTGTCTAACAGACATATCTTTCCATATCTTTGTCATGGAAACATTGCCCACCCACTCAGTATGTTGCAGAAAATTCTGAAGACCCTTTAATAAAATGTTCAGAGGAAAACTTGTTTCTGTTTCTGTTTTTGAAGGCATCAGAGGGAGTACAGATCAAACAGAAGAAAGAGTGAGCTCAAATGCCAACTATCTGAAAATATACAGTTGGAGGACAACAAAAATCAATAAAGAATGGGAAAGCACACAGGAACTCTGGGACAAACATTTGGGTTTCTGGGGTTTGAGAGGGAGACGAGAAAGCCAGTGAGGCCAGGCATAGTAATGCATACCTGGGGGGCAGAGATAGGAAGCCCATGGTTTTAGGCCAGCCCTGGCAAAATAATAATAATAATAATAATAATAATAATAACAACAACAACAACATCAATGATAACAAGACCCGATCTCAAACAAAAACAAACAAACCAAAAAAACAAGCCAGCCAGGTGTGGTAGTGTATGGCTGTAGTCCCACTTCCTTGGGAAGCTGAGGTATGAGGATTACAATCCGAAGCCAGACTAGGCAAAAGCATGAGACACTATCTGAAAAATAAACTAAACCTAAAAGGTCTGGGGCATGGGTTAAATGGTAGAGTGCCTGCCTATCAAGTGCAAGGCCCCGAGTTCAAGCCCCACTACTGCCATCCCCCAAAAAAGGAAAGAAAAACAAATAACAGAAAACTTCCCAAATCTAGTGAAACATACAAATATCCAAATATAGGAAGGACAATGGTTACCAGTCAGATCTGGATCAATCAAGTCTACTCAGAGATACCTTATCATCAGGCTCTGACAGGTAAAAGATAGAGAAAAGAAACAATACATATGTCCAGATCTGCCTGACAGCCCACTTCTCAGGAGAAATCGCAGAGGCCAGGAGATAGTGGCATGAGATGTTCACAGCATGGGAAGGAGAAAAAACTGTCAAAGGAGAATACTGTACTCAGCAAAGCTGCCCTTTAGAAATGAAGGAGGTATAAAGACATTCTCAGACAGGCAGAAACCAAACAAGTACATCCCCACCAACCTGTCCTACAAGACATCCTAAGGTAAGCACTGCACACCAAGCAAGAGGAAAACCTGGGCAGGAACAAACTCACTGCTAAGAGTAAGTACACAAATTCAGAATGCTAACATTGAGAGCAGGCTGCATAAACCATTCAAGCCTTTAGTATGAAGACTAACACAAAGCAATGGGATATAACTGTATTAGAATGCTAAAGTCCATCAACACAGAAAGATACAAAATGAAGTATCAGAAACTCATACCATAAGCTGCTGGCTCACGCTGGTAAGCCTAGCTACTTGGGAGGCTGCAGTTGGGAGGACTGCTATTTGAGGCCAGCCCAGGCAAAAAAAGAGACTGAGACCCCATCTCAACCAACAGCTGGCTGAGGTGGTGTGCACCTGCCGTCCCAGCTATCCAGGAGGCCGAGATCAGAAGGATCATGGTTCCAAGTCAGGCCAGACAAAAGAAGTGGTGAGATCCCTGTGTCAATGGAAAAAAGCTGGGCTTGGTGGTGGGCGCCTATCATCCCAACAGCTGTGGAAAGCATAAAGAAGGAGATTGTAGTCAGGACAGCCTAGACAAAAAGCAAGACCCTAACTCCAAAATAACCTGAGCGAAAAGCTGGAGCACTGTGGCTCAAGCAGTAGAGCACCTGTCTAGCAAGCATGAAGCCCTGAGGTTAAAATCCCAGTACCACAAAAAATAAATTTAAAAATTCTAAATGTACATAGGAATGGAGGGCAAATGCAGAGTTTTCCCTGTTAGTATATTTTCTTCTTTTTTTGCTTCTGTTCTTATCTTTATCATCATGTTGAGTTGGTATTATTTCAAAATAGCTTGTTATATATTATCCAAAGATGTTTTTGTAAGCTTCATGGTAACCACAAAAGAAAAACCTCTAATAGTCACACCAAAGATAATGAGCGAGAATCCAGAACAAGGATTTCTAGAGAAAAATCACCAAACCACAAGGCAGACAGGAAAAAACTGTTTGTTGATTGCTTTCAAGTCAGAGTTGTTGCACCACATGAAGAAGTCAA